ACTTGTATACTAAACTCTTGGCATTTATTATAAAGATAAACATCACCTGCACATGTGCCTTTGCTTTAATTTATACACATCAAATGCACATCTTCTCTCTGACACAGCTCTCAACTTGGCCTACACATTCCTACACGTGTACACATACACACATACATGCAAGGAAACAAGTCAAGAATGATCAGATTAGATGTCTCTCTCATACTCAAGGAACTACAGTAGTTTGGTAGAGAAATTATACATACATATATATATATATATATATATATATATGCCATGTAAGATTTGTGTCTTACTCCTGTAATCTCTGTCTACGGAATGTGGGCAAAAGGCACATGCTAGTGGAATATAAATTGCCCCAAAACATAAGCTCTGTTATACAATAATAGGGTTCATATCCTAACCCCAATAGTTACCAGCTGAGAGATCAAGTATTTTTGCTGTTGTTGTTGTTTTGAGATGGAGTCATGCTCTGTTACCCAGGCTGGATTGCAGTGGTGTAATCTTGGCTCACTGCGACCTCCACCTCTCGGGATCAAGCGATTCTCTTGCCTCTGCCTTCAGGGTAAGCTGGGATTACAGGCATGGGCCACCATGTACAGCTAATTTTTGTATTTTTAGTAGAGATGGGGTTTCTCCATGTTGGCCAAGATGGTCTCAATATCTTGACCTCGTGATCCTTAAATGATCTGCCTACCTTGGCCTCCCAAAGTGCTGGGATTACAGGCATAAGCCACCATGCCCAGATGAGATCAAGTATTTAAATTCCCTGAGCTTCCATTGTTTCATCAAACTGTGTTACGATACCAAACATACTTAGTGGCCTCACATAGAAAAAGCCCCTAGATTGTTAATGAATACTTGCTCATTAATTGATAAACTTGTCTCAGATAAGGTCTGGACTTGCTGCCAAACATTACTTTCACAGACTTGCCTGTTTTACAGCTATATGGACAGGTGTTTGAGAATATAAGAAATTAAAACAGAAATAGCCAAGCTTTTTAGTCCATTTTGCTAATTAATGTGTCAGAGCTCATAAAGAAGAACTCATCGGTTTTCTTCAGTACTGCGTCATCTTAAAGAGCTGGGTCAGCAAAGATCTCTGCAGACAGTCAATACATATTAAAACAGTTCCAAGCAGTAAATCAAAACAAAAAAAAAATAAAAAAGACACTAAAAAAAGTAAAATTTATAAGCCCTTCTCTCTGAACGTAAAAGAACATTAAACTATTGGTTGAGGTGTCAGTTTAGCAGACAGAAAGAAAATAAGAAAGAATTCCTTCTCAAACATTCTTTAAAACCCTGAGTATAACCAAAATTAAAGCATAAAATAAAAAATGCTGTGCTAAATTTGATGTCATTTTCTCTGGATTCTAATGTTTCCTCAGAATATTTAAATCATTAAAAAAAATTTTTTTTTGCTGTTGTTGTTGTTGAAACACATATTTTTCTGGTTTTTTTTGTTTTTTGCTCCAGGCATTGCTAGAATTTGAATTTTGTCAGAGTTCAATTAGTGAAACAAGGAAAGAGGTGAAAGACATTTTTGGTTTTTCAAGGCTCTATGAAACTTTTGATTTTTCTTCAAGGAACCAAACAAAGGACGTTTTATTTTAACTTCTCTGGGCAGGTCGTACCATACCATAGACTTAAATACCTCTCGTAAGTGGAGGAGGATTTACCAACTCAGAAACAGGAATCATCCTGCTATATTCCTTGCCAAGGTAATGAGATGCAATGCCCTTTCAGGGAAGCCCCTGAAATAGGTCCTCAGAGAAATCTCAAGAATACTGGATTAATTCTAGAAGGGGTAAAGAGAACACTACATTTAGGGCCAAAAATGTTAGAAAGATATATTTTACCTGGGCCTTTGATTGGATCTGAGCTCTGAAGTATCAACCATTTAAAAATGAAGCCAAGGATAGGGTTACCAAAAATACTGTCACAAATTTGGCAGGTACCCAAGCTGGACCAACAGATGGAACTTGGCATGAAATGGCTCTTTACAGACTAAGTAGCTGACTCAAGATATTTAATTCAGATGAATTTATTAAAATGTTGAATGTCATCTCAAATAAGAGGATAAATGATAGATTTAGGTCAATATATACAATTTAATTTGTTTAACTTCCTGTTGGTCTTGGATAGTATAAAAGCTGCTCACATTTCTGTAGGTAAAGAGAAAGAGCAAGAGACTCTTAGCAAACAAAACAAAACAAAACAAAACAAAACATATTTTTAACCTAAATATTCTGAAGAAAGAATTTGGGAAAGGAGACAATATTGTAACAAAAGAAGTTAAGTGACTGCTTTTAACAATGGTGAGACACGTAGAGATTTACAAGTTAAAATACAACCTTAGTGGTCACAAATGGCCTGTAGCCAGCTGAGATTGTAGTTATATATTAGATAATTTAAAAAATGATTTTGTAACTGAAAGAATTGTTACTATCAAGAGAACCCTTAAAGCTCTGCTGCTGCTACCCCTACCACCACTACCACCACCAACAAATCCCAATGAGACATCCCTTCACCTGAATACAATACACAGAGGGGAGCTATGTTTTATGTGAGGGATGAGTTCCTGAGGATCATTGTAATTCAAGACTAATTTTCCAAAAGAAAGAAGTGTAAAAAACTGGGGGAGCAGCCAGGCTCTGTGGCTCACACCTATAATTCCAGCACTTTAGAAAGCTAAGGCGGGAGGATTGCTTGAGCCTAGGAGTTTGAGGCTAGCCTGGGCAACATGGTGAAATCCTATTTCTAAATAAATAAATATTAGCTGAGCATGGTGGCACTCGCCTATAGTCCCAGCTATCCAGGAAGCTGAGATAGAAGGATCACCTGAGCCAGGGAAGTCCAGGCTATGGTGAGCTGTCATCATGCCACTGCACTCCAGCCTGGGTGTGTGACAGATGGAGATTCTGTCTCAAAAACAAACCAACAAAACAAAATGGGGAAGGGTATATTCTTAGAGTGTATACACTGAACCTCAGTTGAATATTTTCCTCTAACGCTGCTCTGTGCTTTTTCAGAACTGTTTCTGATGTTTTACAGGATGCTCTCATTTAACACGACTCTAAAGTATGTGATTTTTGGTGATTGTTTAGCGCTCTTCATTGCAGGCCACTTTTGCTCCAAAGTTATCAAGTGTCTGGTTATTTTTCAGCATTTCAACTGATGCCCAGTGAAAAACCTGATGTAGTGATACATTTTAACAGTACTTAAAAATGTAAGAACAGTGCATGTTGGAATAACAGTACGTTAGTAACAGAAATATTCTTTAAAATATCAGATATATTTAAACAGTGTGGTTCATGTGACATAAAGACTGTTGGAACCATTTCTATCAGCTAAACTTGCTATATGAAATGTACAATGAACCTGCATGACAGGCTTTAAAATTCTGCCATTTTTGACTACAACTTTTTTGGAAAGTTATTATTTTAAGCTTTTCACTTAGCATAGTTCTTTATTAATGTTTTTATATCACACTATGCAAAGACAGATCATTCAAAGTTACATAAAATATTATGGCAATATACAAATATGACAAAGTTCTCAAAGAATGACAAACTTTTAATTGCTAGCTAATAGCAGTGGGCTTGGAAATTAAGATTAGAATAAGATTTGATTTCCTGGAAAAGGCCAGAAAGTTTGTTGTTTGCTCATTTTCCCAAAAACCAAATTGATAAACATTCTGAAAAAGGGCTTCAACTTTTTGCCTTGAATCATATCCCAGTACATAGGAAAGGCTTTTTATCTTCAGATATTATGATAATATGTGTAAGAGAAGTTCAAGCATTAGCATGCATTTAAGCTGAAGATATTATAGATTATCCTTGGGGTTCCCTGGTCATAAGAACTTCCTTCTGAGGCTCCTAGAACATGTTCAGTAGTAGAGAATTTAATGGAAGAGGATGTTGGGAACAAGCAGCATGTGGCAATTTACCACTCCCACAGAAATCTCTTCTCCTTGGTGATATAACCTCTTAGGGTCTTTATTAGAAGATACAGGAAAAAGAAATCTAAGAGTTGTGAACCAGCCCTTCCCTGCTATTATCAAAAGAGAATCTGAAGAAAGAAAAAAAAAAATCATAATCTTACCCTGGAACATGATGGAGGTCATGAGGCATCAAGGCAACTTACTGCTGAAAACATAATTGGCACATAAACTCAGGAGACACTTGGTGATAGGAAAGACTTCTTTGTTTACCAATGGAGGGATGACAGCAAATCCTTCTGCTGTTTGGAGGGGCAATGCTAAGAGCAAAATGGATGCTTGCCCCTCCAAAATAATGTGCCCCTAGAGGAAAGGGGCTCCACTATTTGTAGCTTAATAGCTTTAAATGTTTTCCACTAATGTGAATAAATGGTATGGAGGATGGAAAAAGGAATAGAAGGCAGCCTACTTGGCAATGAAGAAATAGCTTGGACTTTAGGAGTGAAGGTAACTCACACATGATAAAGACCTAAGAGACCCTGAGAAACTTTTGTAGATTTTCTAGAGAATGTATAAGGAGCAATTCATGTCTCTAAAGAAAAACAATGGATACATCCTTAGAACAATCCATTTCTATGACATGAAGAAAAAAAAAGGGGAAAAATCCTATTCTTCTTTGAAGAGAAAAAAATGACCACATCTTTCTTATTCTGGAATTCTTTGTCCTGTCACTTTAATGGGAAAGAATCTTGAACTTCCTTGGGTTTTCTTGAAACTTTTTTAAGTGTTCAGCTGGAGTACAGTTTTAAGGTTTTTGGTTTGATCTACTTTTTTGGAAATCTTTATTCTTTCCTCCAAAACCTTCTGAGTCAGCATACATTATGCCACGATACACACAGCAAAGCAGTAATTCATCTTTGTGGAAGTCAGGGACATCTCATGTATTAATTAGAAAGCCTTTCAATGACTAGGGGATAGAAACAGGTTCCAACTGCTACTAAAACACAGCCAGTGATTTCCAGGAAGGGAAATATAAAGTCAGTTACAAGGAATTTCTTACCTGATTTGTGTCCAGCCAGTGAGTGAACCTTACTTTCATCTGGCACTGAGGAGACGAAATAAAAGGGACAAAGATCAGATCTGCTTGTAAATCCGACAATTTTTAAACAATAAATTAATACGGATTCAGAATTAGTTACATCTTTTACTGGCAGAGATTTGAGAGATATTGCTTCTCCCAGCCCACCCCAGGGTACCTCACTTTTATTGGTAGACATCTTGAAGACAGCTATGAATAAATATATGTTTACATGATCTTTTATGAATATAACTTCATTTTCTTTTAATTTTCAATACTTTCAGTTATTTTATCTGGGTTATTGCTTCCATGTTTACAAGAGGAGAAACTAAATTCATAGACCCAGAGATATGTGTGTATATATATAGATGCATAATGTAATGAAATTCTTTCAGCATAACAGTAATGTGTGTGTGTCTGTGTGTACATTAAATACTTAAGAATTACATTTCTGTATCTAGTCAGAATGGAGTAAAAGGGAACAAATTTGTAATCCCCCCGAAACAATTTTACAAACTAGACAAAACAAGAAACAATGGCATTCAACAGATTAGACATTAGGCAACAAAAGGCAGTGACCCCAAGAGATGGAAAACAAATGATGTGAACTCCACAATTGCCCCAGCGTATTTTCTGAAGAAAGCATCCAGGCAGCCGTGCAGGAAAGACAACACCTACACAGAACCCAGTGATGTCCCCAGCTCGAGGACACGGTGCTGGGCCTCCTAGGAAAGCATGGCAGACAGAGATGCAGAGCGGAGAACCACAGAGGAAAGAGCAGTATCTTCAGAAAATCTCCTCATATATTTAGTTTAATACTGATGATCTCATGTGTGTTAAGAAAATTGCCCCAAGAGTTCACCCCAAACTGGAAAGGGAACAGCATCCAAAGTTCACATAGGGCTGGGAATAGTGCCTATTTCCAAGAACCAGAGTGGAAAATTTCATAACTGAGGGGCATCTGTCAGAATACAAAGACGAATCTTGCCTCAACAGTGGGGATAAACTACCTCTAGATTAACAGAGCTCTGGTGAAATGGATTCATTTCTAAAAGACACAAATTACTGAGGCCTATACAGAAGAATTAGATAAAAGAGTAGCCCCATAGTAATTTTTTGAAAAAAATGTGTTTATAAGTAAAACTTTCCCACAAACAAAACTCTAGGCCCAGATGGCTGCAGTGGTGAATTCTACCAAACATTTTAGAAATAAACAAGACCACAAAAAAAAAAAAAAAAGAAACCAGGGGGAGCCCTGGTGGCTCAGGTCAGTTGTCCTGGCTCTTGGGGAAGCGACGCCATGCATTCGAGGCCAGCTGTGTTAGTACATAAAACTCTGGTCTCAAGGGTTGAAGCAGGACTAGGGGAAATTTGTTAACAAGGAGATTCTCTCCCATTTTGCCTAAAACTGGATTGATCTCAGGGTAACATGTCCCTGTTTTCCTCTGCCCACAACATTCAATCTTAATTGACCCAGTTACTATACATAATCTTCCCACTCCCACTTAGCCCTCCTTTTCTAAGCTATTTCTTTATTTTCTAGATAAAAGCACTATATGTATCTGTGATTATTCTGTTCCCAACTGCTTAAAAATATTGTCAGACTTATTATTTTCTTTCCATTTGGGAGGTAAGTATTTATAAGGTACCAGTTGTGAGCCAAAATCCGTCTTTCTCAGGTCTAAAAACACTTACATAGACTCAATCTACAGTATAAGTAGAAAAATATTAGAAAAAATGATAATGATTAAAAATAATAGCAGCTCAAATTTACTGAGAACTTGTAATACGCAGGTTTTATGCTATGCATTTTGTATCTGTTCATTCATTCAATTCTCACAATGACCTGGAAAGATAAGTATTATTATTACTAACCTGATGTTACAGATAAAGAAACTGACATATGCCTTGTAAATGAAGAAGCCTGAACTTAAACTCAGCACTCTTAACCACTCCATTTCACTTGTGATAAGTGTCACAGAAGAGTCATCTGAGAAACCCAAGGAATGATTGGTAGCAGGAATATAAGACAACACAAACAACTACATGCTACAAAACTACCCTCTTTAGTTGAATATATGCTATTAATAGCTATCTTTCTGTGGTGACCAATCTCAATAAATGTTAACTACAGTTTGGTTTAAGATGTTTTGAAGTTGATGATTCTGATGGGTTCAAGCTAACATATCCATTCTCATTCCACAGATGAGGAATAATCTTTCTGAATTGGAATCCTTGTTTGGAAACAATAATTTTACACAAATCATTTTAACTTTCTGTGCATGTCTCATCATAAAAGCACAATATTGCTTATCCCATGGGTTTGTGATGATGATTACATGTGCAAATAAATACATGCAAAGTACTTAGAAGACCATAGAGTAAGTGCCTAATAAATATGAACTTCTGTCATCATCATTTATGGGAAACAAAATAGAGACTAACATCATAGCTAGTAATAAGACAGATGTGGGTTGAATGTCAGCATTACCAGGCAAGTTACAAGCTCTTTATTTTTTTTTGAGATGGCATTTTACTTTCGTTGCCCAGGCTGGAGTGCAATGGCATGATGGCACAATCTCAGCTCACTGCAACCTCCGCCTCTCGGGTTCAAGCCATTCTCCTGCCTCAAGTTCCTGAGGGGCTGGGATCATAGGCATGTGCCACCAAACCCAGCTAATTTTGTATTTTTAGTAGAGATGAGGTTTCTCCATGTTGGTCTGGCTGGTCTTGAACTCCCACCCTCAGGTGATCATCCTGCCTCAGCCTCCCAAAGTTCTGGGATTACAGGCATGAGCCACCATGCCCGACCACTAAGCTCTTTTTAGCTTTAGTTTTCCCATATGAGAAATGGGGGAAAAAACAGTACACAGAGAGTTGTGGCAACTAAATGAAAAAAATGTACAAAAGCACTTTGCACAGTTGCAGACAAATAATTCTGAATAAATGAAAACATTTGATAAATGGAAGCTGTGAGAGTGGTAAAAGTGGTGTGTTTGATGACAGTTTTGGGGTTTATGATTTAATTTGCTCAAGCTTACAAAGAACTAAAGACAGAAAATAATCGAGACCATACTATATTTCAGCAGGGCACTAGGTACTTTTACATTGTTACTGCATGGATAATTCCACATCTGCAACAGATGTGACCCAGCAGTTTACCTAGTTCCTAAATCATCCTGCAGTAGAAGAAAGGCAACAAAAGTACAGGAGACTGTACGGTTTCATTACGTATAGTTATTCAGAAGAAGGGATTCATACAAAGGTAAGGCTTTTGCTGTTTTGTTTTTATCTTTTTAAAAATCTCTAAGCTGATTGGCTGGGTGTGGTGGCTCATGCCTGTAATCCCAGCACTTTTGGAGTCCAAGGTGGGCAAGTCACAAGGTCAGGAGTTTCAGAGCAGCCTGGCCAACAGGGTGAAAACCCATCTCTACTAAAAACACAACAAATTAGCTGGACATAGTGATGGGTGCCTATAATCCCACCTACTTGGGAGGCTGAGGCAGGAGAATCGCTTGAACCTGAGAGGCAGAGGTTGCAGTGAGCCAAGATCACACCACTGCACTCCAGCCCTGGTGACAGAGTGAGACCCCGTTTCAAAAAAAAAAAAAGAAATAAAAAGAAAAAACCTAAGCTGATTTAAGCACTTGCAAATTCCCAGGCCAAATTAGGCTTAACAAATCATCTTCTTAACTCTTTGGCTGAATAATGTCTATCACTTCTTATACTTATCATTATTTTAATTGACAATTTGAAATTCTCTCAAATACTAATATAAACTATTTTAAAAACATTGTAGAAAATCCAAATGGGTGATAGGCATAAAAATTAGAGGTCTTTCTCCAAAATATTCACTAACACAGATGTCTATCTTTAGGACAGAAGATAAATGAATAAACATAATGGAAAAGAGAGGGAACTATGATGACTTAATTAATAGAATACATTTTATTTAAAAGGTTAAATTTGGAACAATCATCTTTTATACACATGCTTAGTGCTGGGAAGTAATTTAAATAACAGTAGCAAATGAGAAAATGAGGTAAAATTACACATGCCACCAAGTTGTTTTTTTTTTAAATGGCAAGTGTTATAATTAATACCCAACTTCCTTTATAACTCACATTACCTTAGAGCTACTCCATTAAAGTTATCTCTGGGGGATGAAGCTTAAGTCTAGTAGTTTCATGGCATAATATTTAGCACATTGATTGGAATAACAGCGATATGAAATATGACAGGTGTGTCATTTTAAACAAAAGACTTATTTACAAGAGATTGAAAATAAATGGGCCTGGCCTGGGAAATGTCTTTGATTGCAAAACAGTGAAGTATTAAAAGCATCAAGTAAGAGAGTTGACGGAGCAAGAGTCTAAGTTCCTTGTTACAGTTCTGATGACAGATTTTTTTTCTTCTTTTCTTTCTTCCTTCTTTTTAAAAAAGTGTTTATAGGTTATTTCATTCCCTTTCTTACCCTTCAGTTTTACCCAAGGACTGGTACTACTTGCTCTCGATTATCTTAAATGAATATTAGAGTAACTGAAGAGATACCAGTGAAACGTTCAGGTTTATAAAGCTGCAATTCATAGATATTTTTACAACAGTTACTTCATTATAACCATTATTACATACTTAGAGGGTACCATGGACTGCCTCGTCTTGATCTTTCTTTGGATTTATTTAGATAACAGTATTTCTACCCTATCCTCATGCTTCCTTATATTAATTTCAAGATTGATGTACATTATTTTACTTAATTATCATAAGGTGCTTAATAAAACACTCTTTGGTTTGGATGCTTGTTAATATCCTGGCGTGTTCTCTGAATCAGGACGACTTGTCTGAGAAATACAGCACCAAGAATATTGGTGACCTATGTTTCTAGTTCTCCTAGTTATAAGTCTTTGAAACTAATTAGAACTGCCCAACATCAATGACATCTTTTAAGAAAGCATAAACAGTCTGTGTTTTTTTTAACTTAATTTCAACCAGTTCATCATTAGAATTGAGAGAAAGAAAATACAGGG